GGTTTCAATGCGTTATATAAACCACAAACACATCATATTTTTTTAAGACTGATAACGGCAATAGAAATAATTTTAAATCCTCAATATTATGATAAAAACCATCCTGATTTTTTCCAAAACTATAAAATTAATCCAAATATATGGGTGAATGAGTATTATGAGATACTCGATTCGGCTCTAAATATAAATGTTTGGGCTGAGCAAATTCATATATGGGCATTAAGTGCTGCTCTTGGCAAACCAATGCCCATCAAATTCATTAAAGGCTTTTACCGATATCCTTTATGGCAGGGGTGTAAGCCAGAGTTTAAAGCCTCATATTTTAATCATGTGGACATCTACCATATGTCCAAATGATATATTTAATATTAGAATCAATCACTTTGTATCTCTCATACCAAATAATTATATTAATACATTAACAAAAAAACCCCAACTGTCCAACAATATCATAAAAGATTTATCATTTTCGATAGAAAATATTCTAAAAAAACCATGTAGCGAAGATATCCGATTAAAATCTTTACCTTTTTTTTTAAACAATATTATAGCCGAAGGAGGTCATCCAAACTATGGGTTTTTTTTAAACATTGTAAAATCCATAAAAATTTTGCTTTCTCCCAATAATATATTGCACGAAATGCCTTTAGGTATAAAATATAATATGTATTTTTTAATTTCTAATAATAATTTTACAAATTATAAGAATAAAAATTTATATATAGATGATTGTGGGCCATGGACAGGCTCAAAATCAAGCTCAAGAAAATTATATTATAATATATATAATGATATTGTTCAAGGTCCGTATATTTTTAAAGATGGCCTATTTAGGCAGGACACTCATCTAGGTGGTTCTAGAATTTTTAAAAAAATAGAACCTCAACCTTTAACCAAAAATATAATTGTTCTTTATAAATACTATAGTATTTTATTTATAAATACTATAGTATTTTAAAGAGAAGTAAAAAGTATAAACGCCGAATTTTAAAAATTAATTTTATTGAAAAGCCTAATTACGATTTCAAAGATATATATTTAGTTGAATATATAGGACAATGGCCAGGTCCCGCTTGCCATGGGAATTCCAAAAAGATTGTAAATCCTTATGTACGGACTTCAAATCAGTTATTATCAAACATTAGAAATCAAATAAAGGACAATCAAACATGTCGCAATATTTATAATAATTATATATTTCAAAAAGACCCAATTAAACCAAAAAATTTAAAACAAATTTATAACTTAAATTGTAAACTTAAAAAAGATACAAAAGTACCTCTAAATTTTGCGATTAATATTTTACAAATTACTAATGATCTACATATTTCGCCATTTATCCAATCAATAATTCACATCAAAGAGAAAACACCATCGATAATTTGTTATACTCATTTTATTATTAAAACTATTAAGTTTTTGTCAAACCAATCTGACTTCTGTATATTAGGCGTTGATAAAACATTTAATTTGGGTGATATACCTAACTGCTATAGTATTTAAACATATAGCAGTTAAGAGATATAAAACAGATGAATCCCCTATATTTTTAGGACCAATATATTTGCATGGAGATTCTGATATGACCACTTATACTTTTTTCTCTCATTTGCATTCTGTATTTTTAAAAAATAAAATAAATATTAAAAATATCATATTTGGTAGTGACCAAGAAAAGTCTATAGTAAAACCTATTCAGGAAATATTTAAATTTAATACTCATTTAATATGCACACGTCATTTAAAAGACAATATAAGAAAATATTTTCGGAAAAACAAGGTGTAAATGCTGTTATGTCTAAAAAAATTATACAGGATATTTTTTCTTTTAATGGGATTTTATTTTCTCGGAATGACCAAATATATAATGAAAAATTAAAAGATTTATACAATTATTGTAATAATGAAAATTTAAATATTTTTTTGCTATATATAAAAAATAAATTTCAAAAAGTAATTTATGAACATGTTTACATTCCCCTAAAAAATAAAATAATAAATTGTTTATGGACAACAACTGCGAATCTATGAACCATGTTTTAAAATCATATATAAACTGGAAACAACGTCCTTTAAAAGAATTAATCGAAAAAATTAAGGATATCACAATGTTACAAGAAAAAGAATTTAAAAGATCCTTCTCAGGAAAAGGAGAATATTTTTTAAATAATGAATATCGCAATTATTTAATACCCGAATCGATAGATTGTCATGATACATTAAATAATTTACTTAATAGTCAAAGCAAAGATAAATTACATTCATTAGATAAAACTTTATCTGTTTTAAAACCAAAAGGCTCAAAAAAACCACATCAGCGACATAGAATTAAAGCAGAAAGGACTCGATAAAATATTTTTTATAAATTTTAATTCCTTATTTTTCCCCTGCTCAAAATCTATTTCATCAATATATATAATTTTATTATCCTAAATGTATATTTAAATCTTCTCTGCCAAACAAATTATATTTTATGAACGCAATAATTATATTATAATAACATTATATACCAATTTGGTAAAAATAATTATGATTTATATATGAATGAATAAAATGAATTACCATCGTTATTAATTTATCTGATTAATAAAAATTGCAAAATTTAAAAAATTTTTTACCAAAATATAGATAATGCTATAAAAAAAATCATAAATATTTTAGTCATCATGATAGAATATGGCGAAATTTATTAAACACATTCAAAAATATTATTTTTAAATTTTATAATTAAAAATTTAAAGACGCCATCTAGCGGATAGAATATTATTTCTTTTACTTTAATAAAAATGTTATGAGCAATTTTAATTTTATAAAAGTATTGAAGCTAAAATATCTAATAGATAATTTTTTACACCTGTCCAAACCTTTATCTTATTTATAAACTAATTAATTCTCAATTAATATTAGGAAAGTGAAAACCCACTGGAAAATGTTTGGAAATTTAATACATAAATATAAGACGAGCGATATTTAGTAATAAAAAATTTATTATGTAATTAGCCGAGCGTAATTTAAATAATAAATGATTTATTATGTGGTTAACCGAGCCACATTTCCCAATCGAGCGATATTTAGTAATAAATGATTTATTATGTGGTTAGCCGAGCGATATTTAATAATAATTTATCATGTGGTTTGTCGAGCGACATTTACTAGCCGAGCGATATTTAGTAATAAATGATTTATTATGTGGTTAGCCGAGCGATATTTTCTAGCCGAGCGATATTTTCAGCCGAGCGATAAATAGACCCACCGTTATTATTACATCAAAAATTTCTACCAACCAGACGATCTTATATTAAATAAATAAATAAAAAAAAATAATATTAAAAATTTCTCCGTGTTACCAATAATCGGTATACAATTTACACATTTTGAAATTTATTTTATTATATATTATCATTAAAATAAATACATAGTTAAATAAAGGGATGTTATTTATACCAAAATATTTTAATAATAAATAAAATATATAATGAAATTCTCTGTAAAATTTTGTTATATGCAAAAATCTAATTAAAATAACAGAATAAGATATATTGAATGATTATAAAAAATGGAAGATTAGAGGGGGGGGGGGAGTTCTCCTTCTTTCTACACCGAATGGATTGAATTAATTTACAATTAAAAACTAAACATTAAAATTTTCAGAATAATGCTTTCTTTCAGTCGCTTATTAATCATAAATTTGGCCAAAATTTTGTCATTAATATTTTTTCATTTATGCTGGCTAGTTAAGTAGTTAGACACTAATAAAGCATAAAATATTGGTAAAATTTAGAAATAGTATTTCCAGTTGTTCAGCCAACTTTAATGATATAAAGACAACTACTGAAAATTAATATTATATAATATTTTTAAGGACCTGGCCGAAGTCCGGAGGAAAAAAAGTTTGAGGTCGAAGCCCTCGAAAAATTTTTTAACCCCCCCCCCCCCCTCCACCCCCTTGGATAAATCTTGGCTATACCACTGATCCTATTATTATATAATAAAGGATTTCGATACTATGATTTTAATATAATTTATAGTTAATGTTATATTTTGTAAAGAGGTTTTATAGTGTGCTCTAATTGAGCCTTTTAAACGCTAATAACGCATTACAAATAATAATAGAATATTTATAAATGCAGCGTGAGTTATAAAAAGACAGAGGATCCTTTTTTTAAAAATAATTTAAGATAAAGCTAAAATAGAGATAATTATTTATATAATTTTTAAGAAAAATCTTATACCCTTTTATCGAATTCCCTATTATTTCTACATATTTTTTATCAACGCATCGGCAACATATATTTTTCAAATGCCATCATAGCATTATCATAATAACGCTCCATATTAAAAATTTGTACCTATTTATTGGCTTTATTTTGTAATAACGCGACGCTTGAACATATCGCGTTTATTATAAATGTAAAATTTTGAATCGAAGATACTAATAAAAAGGTAACCCTAATTTAAACAAGGGATGCGTTACATTTTTTTATTAAAAAATATGGCAAAACATATGGTAAATTTGTGAGCACTAAATAATTAAAGATATGTTGTCCTTTTAAATGCTGGCAATCCTTTGCAATTTGGTCTCATTCAAATGGTGAAGAGTCATACTTCAAAAATGAGCCAATATAATTAACTATTCTAAAAAAATACAGATGGTACACTATTAAAATTAATCTTGTGGATTTGCCAAAACATGTTATAAAGTTTTTACCATGATGTTATATTCTTTTGTTAGCTTTGTAATAAGATTGGGATGATAAAACTTTTTTTCATAGTAATTCTATAAATTGAGAATTTGTTTTTATTTTATAAATCATAATTCACTAAATTTATAAATTTACAATTGCATAGTATATAATATAATATTACATTTCAAATGACAAGATATTCTATATAGCATTTCATCAATTATAGGGATATTTTATATATTTAAAAGAATGTATGTATATGCTTGAAATATTTTTAAAAAAATTGATTGTAATTATAAAGAGTTCTTTAGGAGGTTTGTGAGATTATTTTATAAGATTTTCTTAGAGAAAAAATAAATAAGATTGTCTACAATAAAATCAACTAAATTTTAATTTATAAAAAAAAGAGGATTACAAAATGATACAAATTATAATAAAAAGAAATATTTAATATCTATCCTTATACCTCTATAGTCTTAATTTTTTAGAAAAATTTACAAGAGTATTTTGAAGATTATGTAAGCAATATGGATAGGCATGAGAATCCAAGTGATCATTCTTAGGGAGATTAAACTGGTAACGGCAGAGTTTTGAATGTCTGAGTCTACGAATAGGACATTGTCAATTATGTGAACTAATCCATTAGTAACTACAATGTCGGATTGAATGATTCTGGCTTGGGATGTGCCGTATGTCACTGTCTTCTCTAAAAATTAATCGTAAATTTAAATATTAATATTAACTTTGATCCAATAGTTTAATAAAGCTTTCTTAGAAGAGTTGCTGTTAATTTTTTGCTAAAAATTTGAAAATTATGAAAATAATTGTGCAGTATATTTTTTTGTTAACAGTTTTGGGTTATTTTATATCGTTTATTACAAAGTAATATCTTTTAGAAGATATTTCTGGGGTAAGTAAAATTTTAAATCATTTATAAAGCGCTTTTAAATAATTTTAAAAGATTTAGTTTTGCTGATAGAGTTTATTTGATTCAAAATAAAATATATGAAAATTCAAAGAATGTCTGAAATTCAGTACCATTATAGTAGCTGGAATAGAATTCCATCAAAATGAGCTATTCCAAAATTTTAAAAAAGCGCTTTAAATAATTTTTGTTTTAAAAATTAACGGAAACCCCCTAACGTCAATTACACTAGAATAAGACAAGGGATAAAATAAAAATTTAGAAGTTACCACTAGTCCAAGGGTTAACCGTTATTTTAATCCTGTTTTTGTTGATATTTTCGAACAGCTGCTCTGTGATTCGTTCGTTTATGTACAGCTCGTAATTTAAAATATGGTTTCGCAACATCTAATTTTATGGAGTCAATAGTCATTATATTTATATTATTTTTTTTAAATTTAAAATTTCAAAATTCTTCCTTTCAATTTCCATTCATTTATTCATTTCTTTGTTTATTAATTCATTTATTCTATAAGAGACCCTAAAGGAGTAATAATATGGCATGCAATAAGCTATTATTAATAATAAGCAAAGCAGAAATTAGAATCTTGTTTTTTTAAGCGTGTTATATTATATAAATCAGAGACCTGCAGAAGTACCATTTGCACGGCCGGCCCGGATATTTTTCATAAATTTTTTACGGCCCGGGTTTAAAAATTTTAGGCCCGGATATTAAAAAAAAAATTATTAGGGCCCAGCCCGGATTTAAAAAAAAATTTTTTTTAGGCCCGGCTCGGAATTTTTTAAAATTATACTCCACCTGGTATATACAAAAAATTCACCTATTTGGTATTTTATCATATTTTTCAGCGAGTATTATCATTTAATAAGCAAGCATATTAGCTAATGTTGTTAAACGGCTCGTTTTGAGCCGATTGTTAAAAACGGCTAACTCAATATTTTGACTAGAAAAATATTGACTAAGCCTCGAAATTTTGATACTATATGTCTAGACATTTGCTCCTTCTATGAGCAAAATTTTCAGGCTAGCGTAATAGTTTTCTGGATAAAAAACTGAGTTAGCCGTTTAAAAAATCGGCTCAAAATGAGCCGTTTAACAACACTATATTATTTTATTCTAAACAGATATTTAGTATATTACAAATAGATACTATAAAAAATTTATGTAAATAATATTTTGAGAATATACTATATTAATTGTATTTATAAAAAAAAACAAAACTGACATTTTAATTAATAAAAAATATAACATATATTATATAATAATGTATTTAATCCTTTGCATATTTATTCCATGGCAGGAAAACTATAATTATATTATGTAATAGATACTAAGAGTGTTAGCTAGTGTTAACTTTCACCTAACATTATATTAATCATAACTATATATAATCATTATAAATAAAAATAACCATATCTAATTGACGAATATAATAATTCATGTTGTATAAATTTTTTTAAAAAAATTTTACGGCCGGCCCGGTTATTTTTTAAAAAAATTTTTTCAGGCCTGGCGGTTTTTAAAAAAAAAAAATTTTCAGGCCCGGCCTGGTCCGGGTATATTTTAAAAATTTAAATGCAGGTCTCTGATATAAATAAAATAATTTATTCACTAATTCATTCATTTCTTTGTTGGTTAATTCACATATTCTATAAGCTAGAAAAGTAATAATAAAACATGCAATAAGAGGTTACTTATAGTAAGCAAATCAGTTATGTTTTTTTATATCGTGAATAAATTGAAAGAAGTAAAATTTAAAAAAGAAAGGTTAAAAAGGTTTGAATATAAAAAATAAATAAAACCTAAAGTAAAACTTTATTTCAAGAGTAAGGCCTCATTTATAATAAACAATTTATGTTTAGCGTTGCGTTATTTAGTATCAAAATCACAGCTTATTCTTCACAACGATAATTTAATAGATAATGCTATAATAGAGATAATTATTTTTCATAATATTTCAGAAATATCTTATATATTTTTATAGAATTCACTATTATTTTTATAATCCAATTTTTTATCATCTCATCACAACATATGTTTTGCAAATTTTATCATAGAGTTATCGTCATAACGCTCCATATTTATAAATTATACTTATTCATTAGCTTGATTTTGTAAATAACGCTGCATTTAATAATGCACTTGAATATAGCGCATTTACTATAAATGAGTCGAGGGTAAAAATCTTTTTACATAACGAATCTTATGGGGATCAAGAGTCATAATTTGGTATTCATATGCGCATTTAATTTTTAAAGCGTCGAGGGCGGAATTTGGAGGTAAGAAATAAGTCCGTTTGACGTTCCCGCCCCAAATTATGATTTCTGGAATGTACAAATTATCAAAATCGGAAACTTCGATTAATTCCTTCCAAATTCTATTTTTTTTAAGAATTAAAAAGTATTATAATCATAAATTTTCAAGCTCTAACTAATATAAACAACTTTAAAATTTAATAAATCAGATCAGTTGCTACAATCCTTGAAAGTTTTGTAAATATTGGATAATTAAAAAAAATGGTTGGGCAGATTCTTTTACATAGAGTGATGAGGATAGGTGACAATGACTAATTAATAAAGGGAGGGTGCCGCAAAATTTAAAGTATATTGAGACACTTAATAGATAAATACTATAGTCTAGATTAAGAATGAGTCATCTAAAATGAATTGTAATATTGTTTATAAATTTTAAAATTATTAGGGTTGATATATTATTTCCTAAAGACATTATATTTTATAAATGTTTATGAATTATCTTATATAGCATAGAAATATTTTTATGCAAAATAAATAAATAGCTGTCTTAATTATGGATGAAGATAGCTAAATGATATTTATGTATAAATGCGTAATTTTAAGCCAATAATATTAAGCATGATAATAACACAAGCGTTTTATATTTTAAAGAATCTGATCATAAATAACTATATGCATCTTTTTTTGAATTTATACACATTAAATATTTTTTAAGCATAAATTCTGGCAAAAATAATAGGAAAATGAGTATATACTAGTGCTGTGAAGTAACGTCAAAAAAGTAACGTCGTTGACGTTACTTTTTTAGAAGAAAAGGAACGCCATTCGTTACCTTCATCTAAAGGTAACGAGTAACGGTAACGCGTTTATTTTTTTGAGTAACGGTAACGCAAAACGTTACTTTACTCGTTACTTTTTATTTTTTCTTAAAAAATATCAATAAAAAGAAAAACATATTTTATTGTATTATAAAATTACTTTTATTTATTTTTTAATTCTTAATATTAATAATTTAAGCCGAGGTTTAATTCATATCAACCATTTCCAACATTTTTTTTTAAATTCTCGTTGTTAAATTATCAGTCGAAATTAATATTCAATCAAAATTCAAAGTTAATATAATGATATTATTAATAAATTTATAATTTATTTTAACAGAATATTATGTCCATAGTACTTACTTCTTCAGATGAAGAAGATTTAGCCCTTCCCTGGCCCCAATTTGAATTATATTTTAAAACAATTAAGAAAATTAATGGTACCAAGTCTACACTTTGTAAATGTAAATTATGTCCAACGCAAATATTTCAACGTCAATGTCAAGTACCTCAAACTTAAAAAAACATTTGAAGGTAAAGAATGAATTAATATTGATTCCTTTATCCAACAACACACACACTATATTTTCAGATAATGATAAAATTTTTTTGATCAGGAAATGAATGAAGATCTCTGTGAAGATGACCTTTCAAGCTTTTTTCAAAATAAAGATATTTCCTTAAATATTTTTAATAAATTACCCGAATTGAAATTTTTGTTTATTAAATATAACACCACTACCCATCCTCTGCGCCAATTGAACGTGTGTTTAGCACGGCGAAAGCGCTCATGTTTATCTGATCAAAATTTTGAAAATCAATTGTTGTTAAAAATAAATAAAAATTGTTACATAAAGATGTTATTTTATAATATATTATTTTTGTATAATTTTATTCATATTATAATTATACTAGTAGATAGCCCGTCAAAAATGACGGGGAATGAAAATTTTCTTCTTACTTTTATGCTAGATGTTACCTGTTATTTGAAAATAATATCCAATTTTTATTCTTTTTACCCCCTCCCCCCTTCAGGCCAGGTTCAATCCATTAAAACTAAGTGCAAATACTATGGTTTGAATAAAAATAAATTTAAAGCATTTACTTGATAATACCAATATTATTTGTTAAATATTACTGATTACTTATACCTAATATTTAATATTAAGAAAAATTCCCAAGCAAAGTCCAAAGCTTATTAATTATGAAAAATTCTTCCAAGCCCAATGAAAGATCATAATAATTTTGGTAGTTGAGAACTGAAATAAAATATTTAAATAAAATCAAAATTCAGATATTCATGGGCCTTGGTTTTATGATCAGGTCAAGCCCATGCATGCAAAAAAATTTGTTTTGGGCCAATGTCTGACCTATAATTAATAATAAAAAAATTCTCAAGCGTCCATGCTCATAATATTTGAAAAATTTTCCCCAAGCCCAGCCCAATATAATTTATAAAAATATTTTCCAAGCCCATCCCAACCCATAATAATTTTATAAAAAAAATTTCTCAAACCTGGCCAACCGATAGTGATTTTCAAAATTTTTTCCCAAGCCTGGAGATAGGTAAATTTCTAAAAACCATATCTATTTTTTAGTTTATTTTAAACCAGCTCAACCCAACCAAGGCCAACCCATTAAGACTAAGAGTGAATAATATTTTTTTGAATAAAAAATATTTAAATTAGATTTTACCTGAGGGCCATATAAATATTCTGTGTTAAATATTACACCTATGCCTAATATTAAAAAAAATTCCCAAACCAGGTCCTCGCACTTGGTTTTCTCAAACCCGTAAAAGACCATAATAATTTTGATAGTTGAGGACTGAAATAAAATATATAAAAAGTCACAATGCATTTAAAAATACAATCAGAATATGAAAGTTGCATTGGCCTTGGTTTGTCTTCAAAAGAAATTTTCAGGCCAATTTCTAGCCCATATTTAAAATTAAAAAATATTACAGGAATCTTAGACTATAATAATTATGAAATATGTTTCTCAAGCTATGTCCAAGTCCATATTAATGGTGAAAAATATTTCCCAAGCCCAGGAAAACCCAAATAATTTATTTTGATCCAGAAAAATAGGTCTGATGTAAGGGGTTTATAAGAATTAAATCTGTCTAATTTCAAAATTATCATCAAATGAAGAGTAAATATCTGATTTACCTATAATTCTACTGGTGAATAGGGCTGGGAACCAATAGTAAAAACCCAATATTAACAAAATATTGTATTGGTATTGGGTAAAATATTAGTATTGGTTTAAACAATATTTTCTATTTCTTGTATTGGTATTGCTATTGGTTTATATTGGTAACTATTGGTTTATATTGGTATTGGTTTAAATTCAAATTACTAATTAAAAGAATAGAAATAGTGATTATAAAACCCTTAATTTCTAATTTTAAATAAACATGGGAAAAAAAATCATGATACCATAAAATCAGGGCTAAGAACCAACTCTCAAAATTTTACTAAATTTAAATTCTTTTTTTAAACTAGGAATTTATTAGGTGATATGAATATAAAAAATTTTGATTTAATCATGTATTTTTTGTATAAACAATAATAAACGTATTGATTTTGAACCATTTTATTTATCACAAAGAATATAGCAAAATAAGTAAACTAAAAATGTAACATAACAGTCTATTTATACAAAATATAATGCAAAAGAATGATATAATTTTAATATAAGAGGAAATAATTTTATGTATTTAAGAAGAATCTTGCATGCGCATCCAACTTTTTAGGCACAGGCAAGCTTGTATAGTATGCTCATTTAGTGAACAACGTTAGTCTGTTATAACATACTGTCCTTCTGAAAAAGCGCTTTCAGAGCTAGATGAGGTGGCAGGAATTGCTAGATAATCTCTGGCAATTTTTGATAATACTGGATATCTATTTTTATTTAATTTCCACCAATCTAATGGATTTGTATCATTGGAAATTGTGGGTTCATCTACGTATTTACTAAGTTGTTATTATTATGAGGTTTCACCTGATAAATTTTGTCATAAAAGGACAATTTTTTGTTATTTTGTGCTTCATTTGTAAGTTCCGCTGAATTGTTATTATTTATTTTATAAATATTGTATTCATTAGTAAGATATCCAATAAGAGTTTCCATATTATTATGCTTTAATGAATGACTTGATAGTTTAAATCTTGGGTCAATCATTGTTGAAATAATAAAGAGGTTTTTATTAAAATTATAGTATTTATTAAGTTTTGTTAAGGCAGCTAAAGAATCTGTCTAAAATAGCATTAGGATTATTATTATAACTCTCCACATGCTCAAAAATACTGGAATATAAAGGAATAATTGTTGAAATTGTTGGAGTATTAGCACATGAGGCCATCTCTGTAGCAAAATTAAATGGTTCCAGAAATTCTCGGTATATTTTATATTATTCCAGGCTAAGGCACTAATATAATTTTCTTGATTGGTATTTTGTAAATGATTGGTATATGTTGTCAAATAGGGTTTGAGCAATATTGCTCTTTCAAGCATTTGGTATGTTGAATTCCAACTTGTGGGTATATCCAAAATTGGGTGAGGTAATTTTAAGTGTGGATTTTTTTAAAGATATATTTTTTCGAGTTTATTAAATTTAGATATAGAAAGTTTAAAAAATTTCTTATTTTTTTTTAAGTTGTATTTAAGGGTTCCAATGCAGCCATGACAGCCAAATGTATAATATGGCAAAAGCATTTGCACACATTATCAAAATTATCTTTTTGTTTTAAAATTTTTAGAAATGCTAAATTATTACTTGCATTGTCTAATTTAATGCAAAAAAAATCAATTTCAAATTTTACTTTTAATACAGAATTAAAAATATTAATAGAATTATGTGCTGATTTAAAAGGAATAAAATCTAATAAATGATTATTTAATTTAAAATCATTATCAATATAATGAATTTTATGCCCATAAAGGGTATTTTATTTGGAGAGGACCAAATGTCCATTCTTTTAGATGTAATGTTAGAAAGTACAGATTTTAAATTGATAAAAGAACTATGATAATGTTTCATAATTTCTATTTTTAGTGTTTTTCTAGAAACTAATGTTAGTGAAGGGTTACAATATGCTATTAAATTTTTAAAAGTGATATCCTCAACTATTGAAAAGGCTAAATTATTTTGAATGAAAAAGTTTATAAATCAATTATTTAAATTAGCATATATTTATATTATTAAGTAAAAATGATTTCAATGTCTTAATTTTTTTACTGCCAATATTTATTTGCTCACATTTCTTATATAATGTTGGGTGGATGGATTTAAGATGTGTCCATAATCCTGAAGTTCCAAAATTGGGAAGTGATATTTTTTTTACATTTATTACAAATTGTCTTTTTTTTTATTATCCCAAGTAGTATAAAATTCCCAGAATTTCGTCTTATATTGATAATTCTTCTTGTTCATTATCGCTATTATTATTAGTACCAACAGCATCTATATTTATTAACTCTATTTGGTCTTATTATAATATCCTAAATAAATAGATAAAATTAAAAGATATCATGTAAAAAATTTACTTCCATAATAAAAATAAACTATAATTATAAATAACAGAAATATTGATATCACAGTAGTATTTGGAAGATATAACAGATGTAATCAGTTTTTGCAATGAAAGTAAAAAAAAATACCACGATATAATTATCCACGATAAACCCAAATAATTATGTTATTTTTAATATTGGTATTGGTTAAAATTGTATTTAAACAATATATCAAAACCAATATATTTAGGTAATTGGTATTGGTTGTAAAAGCAATACCAATATTTAAATATATATTGGTTTATATTGGTATTGGTATTGTAAACCAATATTATATTGGTATTGGTCTCACCCCTACTGGTGAGCTCCTGGTATTTATATGAAATTCATGAATACATATTAAAGTACCTGCTGAAAATATGTTCATCCTAATTTAAATTTTAAACAAAGCAAATGATTTATTACTTAGTTACAAAATATAAAATTAAATTAAAGAAATTGTTATTAAATTACAACAGAAAAAATAAAAAGATATGTCTAAGTTAACAAATAATAGGAGGTTAACTTCAATCATAGTTTAATTATATATAAGTAAAACAAAAAGGTTATACATTTAATCAAAAAGGTTATACATTTAATCAAAAATGTTATAATAAGTTATGAATAACATACATTCTACAATTATGAAGTTATGAGTAAATATACAAAATTTCCCTATCTTATGAGGTGTTATTTAAAAATTTATATTTATTTTGGGGTTATTCTAAAATTTTCCATTATTTTTATAAAATATGTTAATGATATATTTAGTAATTTTATTTATGTTATTTATTTGTATTTGTAATTTATAATCTAAAAATTTATTCTTGCTAGATAAGAGTTTTGTGTTACCAAGGTGTGCTTTGTCCCTTCCATATCTCTCTTATCTTTTCTGAAACCCCAATATAATAGTATAAAATCCTAAATTATACATAAATTCAAGAATTAAAATAGTATTTAAATAAATCTCTTATTACTATTTAATGGGTACTTGCCATTTAAAGTTCTACCTTATTCCTATTGAATTGATACTTGATGCATTTAAAGTTCTATTTACCCCTAAATATTCAGGAATATGTATAATATTAGGTGTGTATTCAGTGCATTCAATGCACAGAAAATATTTTAAAAATGTTAACTATTAATTAATTAATGAAAGTTGCATGGGACATGGTTTTTTTATCAGGCCTGGCTATGTCTGCAAAAAAAATTTCAGACCAATCTATAACCCATATTTAAAATTCAAAAATCTTAAAGCACCTCTATTTTAAATTTTATCCAATATGATTTCCATCACATTTTTAAATTTTGATATTTCTAATACATGCTCACGGTATACATTGCAACAATTTTACCACTTTTTCTCTTAAATTTTAATATTTATATAAAATTTATTAATAAAGTATATTTAATACCATGCACACAAACTAAATAATTACCCTTCAACCCCATCAGCTAGTATGGTAATAATAATAAACGGCAGAATTTTAAAAATATCAGCTATTAAATATATATGTAATTAATATTTTAAAATTAATTATATTCAAGTTGGTGCATGCGTATAGAAAGCATATGTCTTTGAAACTTTAATATATATAATTAATATTTTAAATTTATTAATATTCAAGTTGGTGCATGCGTAAAGCATATTGCCTTTGAAACGGGAGGCTTGTGTTCGGTTCTCATAGAGAGCAAAAAATTAACATTACACTATATAGTCTTCTTAAATTTAAACATTAGGGATATACGAAAACGATCGTGTTATGATTCTGGAGATTATATATATTAGATATGAAAATTTTATTATAAAACGATCTTATCTTATATGTTCTTTTTGTATAGTTTTATTTTATTATATATTGTCGGAATAATAAATATTTTTTTGCATTATATATAACATTTAATTTTTTTAAGTAACGAGTAGCCCGTTACTTTTTTGAAAAGTAGGTAACGCGCGTTCCTTTTGTAAAATGGTAACGAGTAACGGTAACGCGTTCCATTTTTCAGATATAACGAGTAACGGTAACGCGTTTCTTTTTTTAGTAACGTTTACAGCACTAGTATATACTATATAACAACGCTAAGCTTAAGAAACCATGATTAGCCCCGACACAGATTTATTAATATCTCTTACATATCTCATTTTAGTTTGGTATTGAATGAGTTTTTGGAAATTTTCGGGTTGTTGGTATTTAAATTGAACAATCGCCTCCTGGCTAGGTATAAAATATGTGAATTTTCCATAATTCTGGTCGTATTCATAAGATAACTCTGCAAAGGTGATTAATTGGAAAGCGTTACTGTTGTCACCGATAAAAGAAATTGGGTTTGTCAAAAAAAGAATAATATAAGAACAATATAAATATTATATGATAAAGTTTAGTTATGATTCGAGGTTTAAATGAAATTTCCAGTTTTTCCAGTTCCAACATTACAAAAAAAAATAGAATGTTTCCAAATTTTTTGATAACCTTGTTCCTTAAATAAAATATTATTCCAAGTTATTATTTTGAGGATTAATTTTAGTTTTTCTCAGCTTAATAATCAAAGGGAAATTCTTACATTTTTTTAAAAGTGTTATAATAAAATAAAAGTATATTTTAAAAAATCTACCTGTATAAATTTTTATTCACTATTTTTTTAAAAAAATATAATGAAGGTTTTTTTAAATGTTAAGAATCTGATTTTACACGAAATAATTGCCAGCATGTATAGAGCACCTACTATAAATTAAGACAGTTTTACCATGTAATATTTTGTTTAATTTTAATTAATATAGAATCTATGGAAAAATATATTTAAATTAAAATATCCCGCTTCAATATTTGAAAAGCTAGGCCATGAGGCCAAAAATATTTCCTTTTAGTTATGCAACAGATGAACCTTTATTAATTTACTAGACGGCTATCAAATTTTATAAAAAAATACATATATTATCATTTTTTAATATATGCTAACCCTAATCTCTCAAACTTTATAAACCTATATTATTTCCTAAGCTAACGCGTAAAAGAGGGAGGTTAGGGTTAAGAAAAAAAAATTGTCCTATGCTTGGGTTGATACTAGTACACCAATGCATGCCACGTCTGGGTGTTTTTCTTCCCACCCCTTAGCCTTTATCAAATCTATTATTATATATAATAATTATTAATTTAGAAGAATAAAGGCTGATCACTTAGAGTTATTCTTATGTAATCTTATTTATTACTTCGCACCCCCCCCCCCCCCCCAAAAAATTTTTTTTTTATTTGTTAGATTTTACTTAAAATAAGTATACAATAGTAATTATTATAAAATGAAAATCTATATATCTCACGAAAATTGTGGATAGGTCTGAATATATCGGAAAGCATTTAGATAGGGAATTCCCATGACAGAATCAATCAAATGTATTACTCCCTTGATGACCCCAATGTTTGGTTGAGATATAATGGATACAACTCCGCCTCCCTTCACAGAGCAATCTGTTATATAAGAATAAAATAGATTTGAAAAGTATATTCATGATCTAGAAATATTATAATTATTATAGACAAATATTTCTTATAAATAACATATACTTGAATATTATGTTTCATGTGATAATATTATGCTAACGAGATTTGTACATCGCGTTATAATATATAACTATAATATATTTGAAAGTATTTCATTACATAAAATTTATAGATATAAAAGCAAAAAAAGATTGATAATAAACACATAGTATGATTTCAGATTTCAATTCTTTTATTCCAATTCCAATTTCAATTTTTCTTTATTTATTTCAAATTCAATTTAAAATTACTAAGTTATAATACAACACAATCTTGAAAATTAAAATAATTATTTGAGGAATATATAGCTTAGTTTTTATCAACCTTTTCTTCATTTTTTTATTGGTTATTATTTTCTTCATTCTTACATTTTTCGATTTGATTTTTTATTCTTATTTTTTCTGATTATTATTTTAGGCAGATTTCATTATTCATAAAAAAAGAGTACAATATTGATAATAACTTACATCCACTCAAATGATTATAAATAGTGAATTTTAGACGTTCCCCTTCTTGCATGGGTTGTATTTCCGTGTCATTATTGACACTGTACGTATAAACTCTGCGATTTTCAACCATATGTAGTTTGAGAATCTAATAAATCATTTAAAACAGAATGCATATTTCTTTATTTTTTTCCATTTTATTTTTTTCTTATTAATTTTTTCAAATTTTATTTTTTTATTTTTTTTAATTTTTTTTCAGTATAAATTTTCTCTAGAAATTTTGTCGATTGAGTATTAGATTGAACAATCTGCACCATTCTTTTCTTTAAACCGAGAAAACAGCATTTAAAGTTTAGAATGTATATGATGTTATTTTTAAAGGGATCATGACTATCCGGGATCTTCACGGGATTTAAAGGGATCCCTTTAAAATTTCAATTTTTTAAAGGATAAAGAACTATACGGTATTATCACTGGGGCAGAGATTGACCTCCAGTTGAATAAATCTTTTGATTAGCTATCGAATGATACCCTATACTAGACATATCTTATATCATAAGGCCAAAAAAAACAAAATTGAAAATTAAAAACGCAACGAAACTCGTGGAAAACGCTTTTAAAATAAGATTCCTCTTTATCACGATTAAAACGCGATAATCCCGTATTATCATTCCTTAATTATCAACCCTAATTTTTTATTTATCTCTTTAAATCCCGTGAAGATCCCGGATAGTCATGATCCCTTTAAAAATTACGACATATATATTTATTCTAAATATGATTGTTTATAACGATATGAAATTTTTTTTATGAAGATGCGTTTAACATATATTTTTAAAAAAGGATTCTGTTATATCTCATCAAAACTGAGTGTTGGTGGGGTAATTAATCCTATTTTTTAAAGGCCCATGCCGATATATCCCGGATTTATTTGGGGAGGAGCTTTGGAATGGTCCTCCAGGTCCCTGATATAAAGATTTTAGGCATGAATAAACCAGAGACTAAATTAATATAGATAATCATAAAATTTATTAGAAATTAGGTGGAATAAAATAATATTTAAATCTTTAATTTATAATTTCTTCATAAAATTCTCTATCCATGATTTCAATATCGGTATAATTGACCTTAACGACAAATAAATAATTTATATATTCTTTAATATAAAGTTTATCAAATTATGGTCTTATCTTGTTTATTTTTCAAAAATGTGCCGGTTCACTCCAATACTCGTGCGATTTGAAAAAAACATTTCTTAATGTTTGGTTTCAAAAATAAGATATCAAAAAAAATTAAAATGTCATTGGCGTTAATTAAGAGATAGCTCGATCCCCCCTACCTAATTTATTTTAAAAAATGGCATTGCAACTCATTAAAACAGATATTTTCGAAATCATTTATTGAATTTACTTTCAAAAATTGAACATTTGAAATAAATTTTTCTAATGCAAAATAATAAAAAATGTATAAAAACTTGTTCAAATGCTTTAGGATTATTTTTGAATTTTTCTTTATAAACATCGGGTGGGATTTTTTTGAAAGCCTCGTCTGTCGGGGCGAAAAGCGTTAAATGTGTACTAGATTGGAATAAAATCCTTTGAACTTCAGGATTATCATTTAGTAATCTTCTGAGCTCCCTGTTTTAGTAAATTTTTTTTGGTATTTTCAAAATTATTTAAAGACTTTTTTTTATAAAAATTATTTTAAGACTTTTTTTTATAAAAATTATTTTAAGACTTTTTTTTATAAAAATTATTTACAAATATTTGCTATACCTTAAAAAAAGATACGCATAATATATTGTGTTCCAAACGTAATAAAAAGAAAATTATTTTATATAACTTTTAAAGAAACACAAGTGAAAAAATGTCGTATATTTTCTCAGAATAAAAGCTGAAATTATAAGAGGAAAAAAATCTTTAAACTGTAAGAAAAATGTTGAATGCTGAGAATTATTTTTAATGCCCAGTTTATAAATTATACTAAGAAAAAAATTAAATTGTTCAGGTTAAATAATAAAAAGCGATTTAAATATTATCTTTCTAAGAAATTCAAATAAAATTCCTTATTAAGTGGCGCAATATTCTTGGATTTTTTTTAAAAAAAATGAGATAAAATAATTTCTTAGATTTTAGTATAAATGTCTATTTTTTGAGCAATTAAAAAATTCTTGTTTCACTTTTGAGTCTGAGTAAAATAATTAAATATTTGAAACACTTGAACTCAATAAAATGCTTATTATTCAGATTTTTAAGCTTTGAAAAAACTTTTTCACAAAAATAAAAATAGGAATGGGATGATTAAAAATTTGGTTTACTTCATACAAATGATAATACATACCTCAAATCAGGATGACCATTAACAAAATCTATCATACTCCTATGAACGAACGCCAGAACGTTATCTATTATGTGAACTACTCCGTTTGCCAGGGGAATATCTGGCGTTTCTATCTTGGCATACACGCTTCCCTCCATTATACCGTCGTGAATGGTTCTCGATTCGCTCACAACATGATCTGGACAAGACAAATTTTGAGATGGTAGAGCAGGATATATATATTCTTATATAAATATTAACTTATGATTTGAAAAAAACTTTCCCAATTTATGAGAATCTAAAAAAACGATTATGGCATAGGGGCCAACAGAGACTTTTTTCAAGAAAGATTAAAAATATTGATTTCTCCTGAAGAGGTCTAAAAAAAATTCTAAAGGTTAATATAATGCAAAGTTTTAATAAAAAGTTAGAAAATGTATTATCTTATTTTGTAAATTAATTTTTGATAGGGAGGGAAAATATAGATTACCTTGTCATTAGGTGCTTTAAAGAAACTAAATAATTGGAAATAACTTGCGCCAAGAAGAAATAAAATTAGAACTAATTTAAGATAATACAATTATCAGGTAGAGAAAATTTTTTTTCAAATAAAAGATATTTTAAGAAATAAATTTGACGGATAATTTTATGTAAAATAAAAGATTTTTAACATTAAAAAATATAAATAATCAAGTGTTCCCGTTAACAAAGTAAAATAATGTGGAATGAGATGATAAATTTCATAAAAGGTTTTCCAAAAAGATAAACAATCAACCAAATATAATCGAAACAAAATAAATTAAAGGTAAAAAGAAAACATTAAATTTTACATTCTAAAGGCAAATAGTCATAAGAATTTGCTTGAAATCCACTTGGCATGTAAAGAGGATTGTTCATAGAATTATCGTAACCTGGGGCATATTGCTGCAATCTATCGTTATATTGATTGCTGGTCTCTGCGCCATATGATTGATAATGTGGTCTGTTTTGCCCAAAGTTTTGTCTCTTAGAAGATAAATTAAATTAATATTTTATATATTCATGTTATTACTAACTTATATTGATATCAGTGCCTCCAACATCTTATTTCACTCAATTCAATCTATTAAATATTGTATAATATTTCTTCAATATCTCTTTCTTGATGATCCTCGTTTTAGTTTTTCTCATTTTTAACTATCTGCTATATTCACACTAAAAATCTTAATCTTCTGTACAAGATAGCCCTTTAGAACACATACCTTTAAGATGTGAAGTAGGGTGTTGCAGGGCTTATACGCTACTTAAGACAATGTCGATATTACGCCTTATCCGCATCTACCACCTGTCAAAATTTGCAAAACAGGAAATTTAAAACAAAACTATCCTTACTCTCCCTTCAATTATATTCAAAAACCACAACTGGAAAAAAACTAACATTAAAAAAATATATTTTAAATATTAATAAAGTATTTTTAAACAGAGCTATCAACTCTATAAGACAACTGTCTCAATCCTTGGCTTGGAGTAATAGCTGCTCCAGATGATCGGCGATCAGAGATTAAACTAGGATATTCTCTTGCATTCCTATTTTCTCCATAGTTAGTCAACGTTCGTTTTTTATTCCTATTTTCATTATCTGACTCGTTTAAAAAGGAATCCTTTGAAGGATCTAAAATGGAGCGATAATTTCTATTGCGCTGTTGAGATTGAGGTGCCAAAATTGAACCACCATAGCCTAAATTTTGATTTGTCCTGAAAGATAAAAAGAATTTTGTATTACAATGTATTTTTATTTTATCTCGCCTTACCTCATGTCATAAATGTCTCTAAAATTTAAAATATATTATAATAGGTAATTTTGGGGGTTATTTAAAATCTTTGCTCCTCATTTAGTAATGAATATTACTAAAAGTTACTCTATTTTCCTATTAATACTATTTTTCTATAACAAATCTAGCATATATAAAATATTTATATCTGTATAATTTGTTTGTCTAGTTATCCTAAACTTAGATTATTTTAGTTAAAAAACAAAAATTGATTTTTTTAATTTTTATTTAATTTGGGTAAGAAAATTTATAGTAAATTTTTAATCAAAAAAGGTTGTCTCCCTCGATTCAAATCATAGCCCTAAATATATTCTTGAATATTATGTTATTTCATTCATAATTTAGTAGAGCCCTGCATAGACAAGTCGAACTCTATTTGGTCTTAATGAACACAAACAAAGTTAGGGCAAAATAAATTAGATGCGGGGCTCTTAGAATTTAATAAGTAATTATGTTATAATAATATTATACAAAATATATACCTATACGAATTATCCTGAGAATTCGGATATGGTTGAAGGTTGTATCTTAAATTATTTAGTGTTTTAGGCATGCAAAATGGGTGAAAACCATGAGAGATAAGAATATAGTTAAATCAAGAAATGTGTAATTATTTAGAAAAACCTAAAAAAATAAATTTTATGAACATTGTAAAAAAAACAGGAGAAGACTAGATAACAATATGGAAGCAAAAAATAGGTAAATCTAACCTATTTAGATTCAGATCGAAAGGCCGAGGCGTTAAAGAGTCCTGAAATCGTGTACTGTATATCCCTTGACTACCTTGTCTATCATTATTTTGTGGATTATTGAAATGGGATTGACCATTATGTAAGTTAGGATTAGCGTTTAGCGAAGGAGAATTAATCGGGAATGGGTTATAACTTCTATCAGCATTGCACATAGCGGGATTTCCGTATTTAGGATCGCAAGCAGAATTGAAAGAAGCAGGAGGCAGCCAGGGAAGAGGGGATCCTCCTATTAGCCTGGGTTGTACGTAAAGCTTTAGCTGACCAGACAGTTGTCCTAAACCTGTTAGGAATAGCTCCCCTGCAGCCATTTGTCTAGTAAATAAAACCTTTCCTGGTATAATGTGGGCTTGAAATAACTAAAAGTTCGTAAATTTTTGAATGATATATTTAAAATAATTAATATAATTTCTAGTTAAATCAGTTTTGCCACTACTATACTTTGAAAATTTATTTAGAAATATTGTGATGATATTTTTTCTGTTATTAAGTTTTCTTTCATAATATATATATACATTTTATAATTACAGTTAATTTAATTTTACTTTATAATTTTTGTCAAATTTTTTTGCCTAGCTAGGCCTGTTTTAATTTTCTAAAAAATTCCGATCCGGCCTGTATTTCGGTTCGGTTGAGCTTTGCAGATTAATGTATAGTATTCATATAATTTATTGTAAAAAAATTTCTATATAACAGGGCTAGAAATTGATGAATATAATTATAGACAATTCACTATTAGCACCAAAAAAATGCCTCTCCTAATTATACATTATAAATTCGAATCCTTAACCTGAACAGAACTTCAACCTTTATGATTTTTTTTCCTGGAAACCTTATCCGAACTTATACATCGAAATGTTCGATACTCTGCTACTAACTACTTAAAAAAATGAACATAACGAAAATTACAAATGTAGTTAAATACTGCCCAACTCAGCATACACATATCTCTATTTATTTTTAACATGGGCTATTATATAGCATAAAATCCTGGCTGTATTACAAGTCAAAAGATTTTCTTTGGATTTTATGAATTTTAAAACATGATATAAGTTAGAAATTTATAAAGATGGGATTCATATTATAGTGACCATTTTTCTATCAAGTATAAATAAAAATTTATTTTGGAGATTTTGAATGCAAATTTAATATTCGTTAATAACCCTGCTATAGAAGTTAGGATTAGTACCACCTGGTAACCCACGAAAAGCTTTGTTACTGGGCAAAAAAACTGTGAATTGAGTATCCTCCCTCTCCAGTGCGTTTAGAATTGAATCATAGATACCCAAGCCATTCAAAATTCTAAATTATTATGAATAAGTAAGGTTTCTATATAAATTTAATTTATATTATCTAATAAAATAACAAAACCATCATATTCTATCTTAAGAGGATATTTGTCTTAATAAAATCTATAAAAATTAAGTATATATATATACGATAGATCGGAAAATTTTCCATCTTCCATAAATCTTCTAACGGTTGATGTATTTCCCAATGGGTACAAAATCCTATCCACCTTGTGAACTATTCCATTGCCTCTTGGGATACCAAAATTAATTATTTTTGCCGAATTGACGTAGCAGTCCTAAATTTTAATTGAAAGCTATAAATATGATTTTTAACTATTACATTTTCTAGTTATATTTTAAAATTGGCATTGTATTTTAAAAATATAATAAACAATCCATAAGAAATTATATCGAAATTAAGTGGAGCCTTATTTTGAGCTTTCTCCCATTTGTTTAATATTGTAGGTTCTTTAGAAAAAAATAGAATATCTTAAAATAAACAAAGTTAGATTATGGAAATAGAACACTCTAATAGTAGTGCTAAATTAAGTTATTTGATATTAATTAAGTAATAATTCTTACAGATTGAAGTGTTTTTCATATAATGTATTTTAAATGGTAACGTGCAAATTCATTATTTTAGAAAATGCCACTTCTCTTTAAAAAACAAAGGGGTTTTTATAAAAAAAACAATGCCAAACGCTCCTGCTTACTTTATAAGCATTATAATACTAAATTTAATTTTGATTTTTTTTTAAATCTTGAAATCCGTTTTACTTTTTCTTATCATAAGCATTAAACGACTGCTTTTTATGGTCTTGAACTAGAAAACCTAATTAAGAATATCTTATACAATACACAAGTCTTTTCGGCCCTTAAACCTTCTACTTATTTAACGTTATCTTTAGTGCCCCCCTTATTAATCAGGCCAAAAATGAAAAATACTTAAGTGGCTATCTTATAAAATTTAATATTTATTCAAGATTGGTTCTATCTCTATTTTGATAGAAATAGGGATGAGACTCGATTTTTATATTTCATGAATTTTCTTAATATATAAAGGTTCATTAAAATTCTATTTTAGATCTTTTCCTAGTTATATCATGAGCTCAAATTTTTAAAATAATGAAATCCCAATTTTCATAATCTCTTTACTTTGAAATTATAAAAAAAGGAAATAGAAAATTACACAAATCAAGAGAAGATATAGAAACTCAACGGTGGTTAGTGGCTATATTTATACTAACTAATAATTCTGCCAATATTTTTGTATAAAATTAAATGGCCAGTATTCTTTTTAAAATCGTTACAGATAATAATTATCATATTGCTCAGTTAAAATTTGTTGGAATTTATATTCTTATTTTAAATAATAACAAATATTATATTATATTTTTAGTAATAGTTTAAATATATTGAGATAAAATTAACCTTATAATTATAAATTAGTATAATATTAGTTTAAGTAAGGGAAAATTAATATAATATTATTAAATTAAGTAAGCGAAAATTAGTGAATTCCTCATCCAAAAATCGCCATTGGCATTGCTTTGGTGGCCACTGATACTCTCGACTTCTGCGCATCTATACTAGCGTTTCTGTTTTTGTCATTAATTTTTGCTGCCTTTTAACGGCTGAGATCCAAGTTCCTTTTTAACGCCAACGTTATAATTGGGGACTAAATAACCTAAGCGTTTCCCAGATGTTCAATCAGGGGGTCTCGGTCATTGAAAGTATAAAGCTGAGATGATTGTACTATATTATATTAAGAGCCAGTCTCTTATGTAGGTAGTATCCCTTACTATTGGAATCCTCGGACCTAACAGAAATCCGGCGCCTAAACTTTTTTAAAAAGACCAGGGTATGAGAGCCAAACGATTATATGTGTTTTCATTATTGGTAAATATTATTACCAAGAGAATAAATTTATTATTTTAATTAATTTATCAGCCAAATTTTAATAAGCTACCAATCGGCCTATCTCAATTTATTTTTAAATCTAACCCTAGTAATAGTCTAACATTATCCCACATCAAGTCAGAATATCAATAAGTAAAATTAGAGGTCTAAAAAAACAAAAAAAAACATTTTTTTTTCCAAGCAATAACGACATTTTATTCAATTATCAATTAGTAATGCTGATCTATAAAAATAATAAAATACAAAATAAATTTAATGTTAATATTAGCTTTGGCGAATGATAATCGCAGCCGCTTTGCACTGTTTTTACATAAATTTGTATAGTTAATTTTCTTTAACTTCTTTTTGGACAAAGGTTTCTTTTCTTCTCTACTTTAAATGCTCCCGTATAGGTTTAAAAAAGCCTCATTTATAGGTACAAGTAACTGAGGCCTGTCCAAGAATATTGGATGGCCCCACTCATAAGAAACCTCATCTGGGTTGATAAGTTTAGCTCTGTTGTAATTCACAACGATGCACTTTGTTTTAATATAATGAAAAATTATTTTCATACCGATCCAAAAATTTTATTTTGTACTTGTCAAAATAATTAAATTTTATATGCCAAGTTTTAAATATAATATACTACCTATATTCTTTGTTATTATTTATCCTATTATACATAGATTGGTCATCACTCACAGATAAAAAAAAACTCAATTGGTAGCCATTATAATTCGCCCTATATATATATTTTAACGAATCGTGGGTCATTTATATATGTCTCTTTGATAAGACTTCGACGGGGCAGACTATTATGGCGCGTAATTGTTTATTTATTTGCCTAATATTACCTGAATAGTCTATGATTTATACTGACCCATTTAGTATTAAATATTGGTTGATTTAATATATCGCCTTATCTATAATATAATATATATTCGAAAACGTAATTTGAATTTCCAGGATACGATTGGTGCCCAATGCCCAAATTCCCAAATCCTCCAATATTTCTGGTATCCTGGGTCGGCTCGTATTGAATATTAGGTCCCCCACTTTGATACATGTTAGGGTTTTGGTTTATCTGAGGATTATTGTAACCACCACCGTAAGGAGGTATATTGAAGAACAAATGAGAGTTGTCTAACAGGTTTTCGGTATTTTTAAAGAATAGATTGTATTTGGGGGCTACGTTTACCCAAACTTTACCCCATCCGAATGTCTCGTAAGACCGATTTCCAGAACTTAAAATATTTTCTTTTGTTAAAACCCTCTTGACTTTTATTTTTTTGAAAATAATAATATATAAAATTAGTAATATTAGGTAATATGTATATATTTTTGTTTGTGAATAGGGTATAAAATAATTAAATGACAAAACAAGCAACCGATAAAATAATATAATATATATTAATAATTAAAGATAAAATACTTATGTGATATTTGAGGAAATAGTTGTCGACCCTGAGATTTGGCCAGAATCTGAGGGCTATTGCGAAGGCTTGATTCGTGGGCGCTATTACAGTATACTGAATGTAAGGGTCATTAAAATCTTTTAATATTCCTTCGTAGTCGACGTACGCTTTAAACTGATATTTTAATACAAACTTTATATGGCAGCTATCTATAATAGAATTAATCTCGACATCATGCCTACTAATTAGTGATCTACATAGGGCCCAATGTTTCAAGCTCGGTCCAAAATTTCTTTAAAAAAACTTGTTTGACCCCTTATTCTATAAACAAAAAAATACTGCCGTTTTGTTTCTTTTAAAAATTTTAAAATATATCTATTTTATTTTAAAATTTAAACCCGGCCTGGCCCGGCCCAAATTTTTTAAAAAAATATTAGGCCCGACTTAACTCATTCCTTTAAAAAAAATGGGCTAAGTAAAACTTGTCTTGTGCGTCCTTAAAATGACAAATGAACATAATTCATTCATTATCACCGAGGTGTTGATTTTTCCTTTTTTAAAATATATTTATTTATCCTCCCTAAATAATATTAATATATTTTTTTAAACGATAATTGTCTAAATATAAATATTAAAGCACCTGTTGCATTACTTCATCACATTAATTGCCCTAAAGAAATAATTGTAGAATTGTTTATGTTTTGAATATTTCAACAATTATGTGTTAATAAAAAAAATAATAGGTGATATTTGTATGACGTTAATATATAACTATATTTTCTTACCTTTAGGATGGGTCATTATGTTTTGAATTTTTTATTGCTAAAGAAACGAATTAAATTTTTTAATAAGGTATTATTATAATATTAGAAATTCTCTACTCCTCGATATAAATTATTAGGCCTCCTTTTAAAAAAGGCTCATATGCCTAATATTCTAGAACCATGCAATTTTTGAACAGATGATGGCCTATTACCCGATGGCCTGATCACGATCCTCTGAGCAGATCCCTTATTTGGGAAAATATATGTGTCTCATCTTTCCCCACTAATATAAATAGCAACCTAATTGTTCTAACAGAGAGTAAAAAAAATCAATAAATAAGCAATTTTATATTCTCGCCAATTGCAACTTCTACCAAAGGATAGTTTGCTTCTATCACCTTATATTTTTTCTAAAAATTTGCTCAAAATTCAAGTTATAAACAATTGAATCTAGGTAATTATTTATTCCTTAGCCAAAACATGCAACTAAATATTTTTAAATATAAGTATTGTTCCTTTTTAAGAACATAAAATTATCTTGGTTAGTAATTTTATATAGCTTCATGTAATGCTTTTTAGTAGTGTTGTTAAACGGCTCATTTTGAGCCGATTTTTTAAAACGGCTAACTCAATATTGTAACCAGAATAATATTACCTATTGAGATTTCGATGATATTTGTCAAGACCTTTGTTCCTTCTATAACCAAAATCTTCAGGCTTGCATAATATTTTTCTGGATGAAATAATGAGTTAGCCGTTTTTAAAAATCTGCTCAAAACGAGCCGTTTAACAACACTATTTTTTGGTTATATACAACATTCTTATATATTTTACCAAAAAAATATAACCATTCTCTCCTTCAATTCTAATAATATTATTAGAGATGTACTCTTTAATAAATATTAATATTTATTACTATGATTTAGTTTCTAAAAAATACAATATAATTAGCAGAGGCAGCCTGTCACAAATGAAGATTGGGAATCATAAATGATGGCATATAACAGAGACATGCAGAGGTACCATTTTCATGGCCCTGGACGGATTTTTTTTTTTTCAAAAAATTTTTTAGACCCAGGTTTTATATTTTTAGGCTCGAATTTTTAATTTTTATAGCTAATAATGGCGATTTAAATTATTTGGTTTTAAAATATACGGCTGCTGGTATATAACATATGGTAATAGATGATCACAAATGGTAAAAAAAATTAAAAATGGAATAAGTTTTTTATAATGGGTGAATATTAAAACTAATTGTTATTGTAGCGTTGTTAAAATGCACTTTATATATTTTTTAAAATAAAAACTAACCCTATTTAAAATTTTGATAGAAACGGGCCAATATATACATGAACAGGGGTGGGAGTAAAAAATATTTGATGGGTAGGAGGGTACATTTCAGACGTGTTGCCTCCATTTTCTCTCTTATGTATACGCTGAATCAGGCGAGTTCTGAAATTTTGTTTTTCAATTACATTTGGTGTGGTAAATTAAAAGAAAAATAAGAAAATTATCATTATAATTTGGCCGCTAAGTTAAAAAAATATTAAACTATTTCACCATTTTGTTTTGGATTTTTATTATTTTTAAAAATCAATATTCAAAAAATAATATTTTGGATATTTTTTTTATAATTTCTAAAATGAGAAAATTTTAAAATCTAATAATTATCATTAGATTTCACGAGGGTACGGAAGTGCAAATATGCGCTACGAGCACGCCTTACATTCCATTTGAATGCCATTTTAAAAAATATAAAGCGTTCCTAAAATTAGAGGCTGCGGAAAAAAATCTTAACAATTTTTATGATTAATTAAAGACAGGCAATTTTTAATATTAATTTAAAATACGAAACATGCATAGTTTCGTTAAAATATTCATTTCCAATAGTTTTTCTTGAATATTAGTGAATGGAGGTTTTAAAAATCATGTCCATAATTAACGTAATAATTTAAAAAAATATATATTGTACTTTTATCAATGAGCTAAAGATTTTTGTTTGTATTTTAGAGATAATTATTTTTAAATATTTACCCCTAGACAAAATATCGCAAGGAAAAGTTATTCTAACCCCATTCCATCAATCCATTAACAACAAAAATATTTAAATGTAGTTTTCTCAAATTTCACTTTTCATTTATGTGTTTTCTTATAAAACCTTAAACTAAAATCATAGAATTTTCCAAACTAGTATAATATAATTTTTAAAACCTTAAACTAAAATCCTAGAATTTTCCAAACTAGTATAATATAATTTTTATTATTATCTTGTAAGTTATAATATTATAATATAATATAAGTTCCCTTTTAATAATTTATTTAATATTAAATCTTATATTTTAACGCAATTTTTCGAAAAGAAACGAGTAATGCGTTATTTTTTATAGTAACTTTTTACATATTTGTTACTTTAAAAAATCTTATGAAAAATGATAAAATGCTCAAAATTGTTTTTTTATTATATTAAAAAAAATAATTAATTAAAGAATTTAATAATTAATCTCAACCGAGTTTTCCGATCAAACCAATCTAACAAAATTTTTATGCTAGTTTTTTTTGTATTTAAATATTCACGAACTAATTTTTTCCCAAATTTTATCCAGAATCAAGGTATTTATTGAAAGTTCGAATAGCGATGAATAGTTACTTCTAAAAAAATAATGAGTAAATTCCTTATACTTCTTTAAAGTAACGTAAAAACAATTCATACTTTTTGGGAAAGTTTACCGCATTGGATTAACTTTGTTAAAGTAACTAAACTTTTGAAAATTGAGTTAGTTTAATAGTTATTTTTTGGAATCCAACAACAAAAATAACTAGTTACTTTTGAAATATATTAGATATTTTATTATTTATATAATTTCACATATTTTGAAATTATTGTTTAATAGTTTTCATTGGCGTAATATTTACCTATTATTTTCAAATTTCTAGTGGCGTAATGTTTATCTACAATTTCCATATTTCTAGTCAAATAATAATTTTTCTGATACTCTTTGTCTAACAGGGAGAAAGAAAGTGCAAGCTTGTCCAACGAGATGGAGTCTCCGTCATCAAGCAGTAACAGCTTTTATGAAGTTAGAAGAACCGATTATTAATGCTATTACTGAAATATCACAATGGCCTGAAAGAAATATTTCCTCAGAAGCAAGAAAATTATTGGATTCAATACTTATTTCAATTTTTTTTTCTCATTAGAATGTATTATTTAATTATACAACTATTTTATGTAATACTTTTTTTCAAAAACATGGCATTGACTTGATTAAGAAGATGAGAATAGCGGAGAGCATTTTATTAGAACTCAAGGAAATTAGGGCTAAAGTTGATGAAGAATTTCAATTTTATATGTTAATGTTGAGTCAAAAGGAGAGCTATACGTGTTTAATATTTGTCTCACTCTATTTGCTGCAAGGCAAGCTCATCGTCAAAACATTAGTATAAGATTAGTAGAAAAATATTATAAAACTATAATCCAAATAAATGAATGATTTTTAATTCATCATGCAGCACTTACCAATCTGCAGATATTACTTCCACAAAAGCCTTCCCAATCTTTTTCAGATGGTGATAGAAAAAAAATAATATTTGTTTATTGCCTTATTAGCTGAATAACTATGTTTAAAAGATTAACTAAGATATAGTCCCAAAAAATGCTATGGATGCTTTGTATAATTAGATTTTATTCCCAATGTATTAAAATGATTATATATATATATATATTAGTAACTCTTCCCATTAGTAAACTAATGAGAGAACATTCTCTTTTTTAAGAAGAATAACAGAGCCCTGCAGAGATACAATTTGCAGGACAAGGCCTGGATTTTTTTTCGGCCCGGCCCGGGTTTTTTTAAAGAAATTTTCAGGCTTGACCCGGCTTTTTTTAAATTAAATTTTTCAGGCCGGGCCCGGATATTTTAAAATAAATTATATTTATTTTAGATTTTTATAGCTAATTTCAAATATTTGATTTTAAAATATATAGCCGGGCCCGGATAATTTTTTTTAAAAAATCAGGCCCGTCCCGGGTGTTTTTTTTAAAAAATTTCGGGCCCTGCCCGGGTGTATTTAAAAAATTAAAATACGCTCCGGCCTGGGAACTGGGTCTGCAGTTCTCTGAAAACATACCTAAGAAGTACAACTTCTGAAAGTGGATTGAATGGTTTGGATCTTTTAAATATTTATAGGCATTTGAAGCCAAGTAAGGATGAGTAATTGAAAAATTAGCTCAATCCCAACGAAGATTGGATTTTACATTGTAAATATAATACAAAATAAAATTATTCCTAAGAAACATTTTGTGTATTAATATTTCTATTTCCAACATTAAAATTTTTTACTTTATATATAAATTTTAAAGGCTTAAAAATTTCAAATTTCTATTTTGGGTCATTTAAATGATTCAGATGGTGGTTATATTCACTTTATATTTTTTAATTCACATTTATTTTATAGTTTTTTATGTGCCGGTTTATATATATAATTTTTTTATAATTCATATAATTTAAAATTGTGTATTAGAAATAGTTATTAGCCCTAATAAATTTATGCTTGATATTTTTAAATAACAATAATATTTCTTAAAAGAATTTATTATCCCCCCCCCAGACCAAATTCCTGCGTACGCGCCTGGGTGCTCTTTTAATAGATTTTTCAAATCCATATAGCTAATTTTCAGAGAGAAAGGCATAAGCAAAAATTGCGATATTATAGGATTAATTTAAGAATTTTTTCCCCCTTTAGAACTCAATAGGGATTTTTATGGGTGATTTTTTTTATTTATATGGTATCTTATGTCTCCCCTCCCTTCATAGATATGTTATATTAAAAATGTAAGTATATCACTAGTATTGTTAAAAAGCCCGATTTGGGTCGATATTTCAATACGGCCCGATTAAAAATTTAGCTAAAATAAAATTATGCAAAAATCGAGATTTGGTAAATAGGTGGTCAAGCATTTCTGTCAGCTATAAGCAACTTTAGGCTTACATAATGTTATTTTAGTTATAATCTTAATCGGGTCGTTTTTTAAAATCGTCCCGAATCGGGGGTTTTAACAACACTATTTACCACCATATAACATTAGTTTCTTTATTTTAGTTAAAGTTAAAATGTATGATTAGGAAATTTTAAGATAATAAAATTTAAAAATTGCTATGCAACATAATTTAAATATTTGGTTTAGAAGGTGGGAAATTTTTAATGTAATATTTATCATCAGTTGGCGGGAAAGTTTTTTTAAATTATTTCTTATCCAGTATTTATATATAAAACATGGAAAAAAATGTATTCTTTCTATATGTGTGGAACGAAGGTACAATTCATACATTTTATGTTAATAATAATTTTCAATCTTTTAAAACACACTAATTTAATGTAAATAAAAAATTATAATTTTTTTATCGTCACCTTAGATAATTCAGGATCATTGGCAATAATGTCATAAACAGTTCCACCATAGTTTCCTGGACCAGGGTTGAATGGAATGGGTGGTGAATAGATGTTCGGAGGATCTTTAGGCACGTATCTTTTACGAATATTTCCGATCGTTTCTATTGACCCATCATTAGTTTGATTATTGGGATAATTTTTATATAGAATATCAATTTGGCCACAAGTTTTAGAGGAGAATAAGAATATTGGAATGTATAATAAGCAAATCATTAACGGTTTTGGCTTTATATTCATTTTATGTCTATAGTGAGAAATCACAGTTTACAATGTTTAAATAAGAAGTGCTCCTTTTAAACAAACTTTAAGATTCATTGGAATGTTTATGACTAGAATTATTCCTATATTATTATATACAATTATCAACAAAGAATTTTTATTTATTAATACTTTTTAAAATAAAATGTTGTTTTGTTTTATTTAAAACTATTATTTTTTTAAAAAAAGGAGATTTTTTTGTAAAATTAAAATTTCAGAAAAATATGATTTTTTTTAAATGAAGAAAATATCGTTTACCTGTTCATTTTTTTCGTTGTTATTTATTATTTACAGGTATTTACGAATATACAGGTAAAAATTGTATAAATTTTATTTTAATTTATGCTAAAATGAAAATAAATAAAAAACTATAATAAATAAATGCTTTTATTTATTTATTAAAATCTAGGAATTTATTTATAACATTATTAATATCTATCACATTACTGTTCAAATAAATCATAAAAATATATAAACAGACTTATTTTTATTATATTATATAATTTTACATGGAAAAATACAATTAGTTCTTTTGTCAAAATATTTTCGCCCCAAATCCTTTTTCAATTTAGTCCCCCTTCTTCCTAGCAATCAATCTATTATCTATAATTGTATTTTAAAATATTTTATATTTGAACTTAAATAGAAGAAAGAATTGTATTAATTTACAAGTACTCTTTATTAAGAATTTTCAATCTGATTCTTTTAAATGAATGGAATTTAGTTATACAGGGTGCTTAGAATTATAATACGAAAATAGTTTAAATATAAAATCAGATTGCACAAGGGCACATTGGGATATGGTAAATAATTAAAATCATGAGTAAAATCCTAGATATGATACATTGCTATACTGCTAATAGAGTATGAGAGTAACTTTATATGCTAGCATTTTCCTATGACTAACATGTTTATTTTTTTTATAATATATGTAGAACGTTCTCTGCCTATTTAAATGGCGGAGAAGCTCGCAGGTTCATATCCAGGTTGAGGCTCATCTGTTACATGGTCTGATCCCCGGTGTTAGACAATTTTATCTGAAACTAACTATTTGGATGTATAAGCCTAACAAAGAGGTTCGCGATAAAAGGCTAGAGAGATATCGGCCAAAGTTAAATAATATTTAGTTTAATAAAATTTGGGTGTTGTTGGGCCTATAGCTTCCGAATATGAGATGTTAAGTGATTATCCTAAGAACATTATTACTAATTCGAGTCATTCCAAGTTAGTCCATTTATCAGATTTATTTGAAGCAACCCTAAATAAATTGTCACAAGAAAATTGTGATTTCAAATGGATTGTAATAGGATATGTTTCTTCATTAAGATCTTGTAGAAAATAGTTTTTTAACAGTTAAGGTTTTTATTGTTGAAGAGAAATCTTTAAAAAAATAGAAGAAAGTAATAAAATTTGAAGAAAACTGATCAGCCCCCCCCCCCCCCCACCATTACGCTCTATTATTTAAAAAGAAGTGGTTCTGTCTCAATCAAATTATTGAATTTATGACCTAAGTATAAGGAATAAAAATATATACGGTATTAGTAAAAGGAGTGAGTTGATTTAAAATAAACAATGTAACAAATTATAAATTATAAGCCCGAACCCTTAAAACATCGTATTTTTTGTAATATTTATCAGATGAGTCAAAAATATATTAGTACTGGGATGTAAAAATGAAGAAAGAAGTGAAATTAAAAAAAAATTATAAAATAAACCATTATTTTAAAATATGATCAATTGCCAATTAGTGAAATATAGTTAATCGCTTAATTGTCATATTGTGGCATAGTCCTCTTTAATTAGTCTACACATATATTACTTATTCTATATATTTTTTATAAGAATTGTATTAATTTATGTAATAGATAAAATGAGACATAATAAACTGTTCCGTTCCTATTCAATAAAAATAAAATGTAATAAATACAAGCAAAAATATAATAATTTGTTTAACAAGATTTTTATTCAAATTTTTTTTTAAATTTAATCATTATTTAAATCACGATTTAAATAATTTGAATCATGTTATACCAATTTTCGAATAAATTCTTATGATTTAAATCAATATGGATATTTAGCACAGAAACCTTTATGGGCCGGGCCGGACCGCATGCCCATACCCAGCCCATGGGTCGGGTATGAACCTAATATCATATTTTCTAGCGAGTCTGGGCCGGGGTTTTAAAAAAATCTTTTTAATGGGTTGGGCTTGAGCCTAAAATTATTAAATTTAAATTTAGATTATTTAAAACAGTTGCTAATTTAATGAAATATTGCCTTTTCTTCTAATAATAATAAATTTCAGTATTGTATGCAAAATGATTGCCCAAGTATATTTAAATATTGTTAATTTTCATTAAATAAAAAAAAAAAAATTTTTGTATATGGGCTTGGGCCGGGCTTGGGATTTTTTTAAGATTAAATATGAGCCGGGCTTGGGCAAAAAAATTTTTTTACTGAGGGCCTGGGTTGGGCTTGATCAAAAAATTAAGGCTCATGAAGGTCTCTGATTTAGCATTCGTTTTTGATTAATTGTATAATATTTTAAAAAATTACATAATTGACATGTGTAGTCAAATGGCCATTCTTGTTTGATAAGGACCTTATATGAGGTTTAATAAAGTTCAATTTTAAATATAAATATATATGTATAAACATCTTGATAAATCTTGAATACGTTATACTGATATCTCTTGATTAATGGCATTATTACGCAATTATTATTATCAAAGTTTTCTCTAAGTTAATGATAAAACAAGTTTACGAATTTCTTGTCAAATATAAGAATAGAAACCAATATTTCCTAATTGCTTAGGAATAGAAACTAGAATCCGTTTCAAAATATGCAGGAAAAATTTACATGTAAGCGCTTATATTATTTCAGATTTTAAATATTGTTGAAATATTATTCTATGGGATTATTGGGTGTATTCAATTATCTATGGTTAATAAATAATAACGCATGTGTTTAATCTTTTAGTGTTACATTGTATTTTTTTTACATTTTCAGCGTTAATAAAAAATAACGATATCCATGTATTATGTTTACCATAATATTATATAAATGTTTTCACACCTCTAATACTCAACTTTCAATCAACCATATCAATCAATCCATCTCTAAACTGTATCTAATCTCTCCAATTAGAAGGAAGATTGAATCGAAAAGCAGACAAGATCTAAATTATGTATATAGTCAAGGTAAGCATCACGTCACATTTCTATATATTATATCACGTCATCAATAAATTTTTAATAACCACTCACATACCTAACCATCTCCCTTCACTTACTTGACACATGATGGCTTAAGACCTGATGGTTTGACAACCATCCCATGGGCCCCCAGTAAATCTTTAATATGGGGATATACTTCTATCTCTTCATACCCTTCAAACACTAAAATCGCTCACCCAAACTAACCAAAAAAATAATGAAAACATAAGAATCTTAACAATTTTATTTTCATTTTAATAGTCATATCAACTATCGACACTTTTTCGCCTATAACATTTAGTTTTTAAAAAGTCTTGGCGGTAAAATTAGGCAATTCACTAAAGGGAAAGAATTTTAATATATTAGACAAAAAATACAAATCAAAATTCATGAATTTAAATGGTTCCTTTTTGGGAACACAGTTGTTAAATCCATAAATTTTTAATATTACTTTTTAATTTTATTTTAATAGGGTTTTTTTATATATGATATTTTTATATATAATTTAAAATGAAGATATTTTAAAAAAATTACAATAAAAGAGGTTGTATAGATATTTTAAATTATAGCAGATATATTTAATGAAGTTTTATGTTTTTTTTATTTTTTAAAACTTCATTAATGGGTTTTCACTTATAATTTCTCATTATTCGCGTATCGTAATTTAATACAAATTATGGCTAATGAATAAATGAAAATAAGAATTTTCAATATTTAACAGTTTACCCATAACAGCTTTACCCCAAGGTGATATCTATTTTACAATTACGTGACTTGTAGTTAAGTTATAAACTTTCAATGATATATTATAGTTAAGACTTTAAGAGAGATATATAGAATATTTAAATCATCAAAATATACTAAAGGGTCATTTTTATAATTTATGGATAAAAAACGGTGTTTTTTCTAAATATGTCAAACCAGGAAGTTTTTCTAAAGGCAGGACATAGTTAATAAATTATATATATAAAACACATCACTAGACCAAATTTAAGGTTAATATACTAAAGAGTTAAGTTATCTGCACTGTTACCTGTAATCGTTGTAAGCATTTTTTTATATTTATCTTAAGAATCTTAAATAATATATAAAAATTAATGCTTAAGCCCCATTCTATCAGATGTGTAAGTATTATACAAGATCAACTAGTATTTTTTTTATTAATTTATGTCGCGAGTGAGGACTTGTGACATGTCAGGCTAATGCTGGTATGACTATTTATAGCATAAAAATTTATTAATCATTTTTAATTTTTAGCGCTTTTCTTAAATCCTAGTAAGGATATTATATCATTTAAATATATTTATTTTTATATGATCTTATATGGTAATTTTTCTATCATATCCAACCTTAATTTTTAATATAAAATATCAAAAACATTTTTTAAGTGCCTTTTATATTAAAAGCGGAACCATATCAAATATTATATGAAGAAATATCTTTTTATTTTCAAGAACCGGAAATAAATTTATCTTTTGAAAAAATAAAGAAACCCTGTGCCCTTATTTTTAGTCTAAATTCCAAATGTATTTTGATTAAATACCATTTGTAATACTGGAAAATCTTTTTTTCTAATTTTTTTTTAAGTTGCAGTTAATGTTGTTAAACAACCCGTTTAAAATTTTTGCCAAGATAATATATATAAGCCCCGAGATTTGGTATATAGAGGTCTAAACTCTTCTGCCATCTATAAGCAAATTCTCCAGGCTTATATAATATTTTGGTTAAATCTTAATTGGGCCGTTTTAAAAAATCAGCACGTTTCATTATATAAATAAAGAAAATTCAATACCTTTTAAGAAAATTTATCTAGTGTTTAAAATAGGCTCATTGTTAAGTCGTGTGTTAAAAAAATCTGTTAAACCTTGAGGATGAGTTACATTTTTTGAGGTAGGCGAAAAGCAGAGGATGACGTGATAGTGTTATGGTAAAAATACGGTTAGTCGTGAGAAACTAGGCTTAAATAACGCAATTTCGGAACATTTTTGGTGTCAATTAGAAATTTGCATGGCTCGGGCTAAAAATTTCAAGGCCCTTGAAGGTTGCGAAAGTAATGTTTACTCAAAATTTTGTAGGAAAAGATTTAAACATAGAAGAATGTTAATTACTGATTTTATCCTTCACATTTTTTTTCTAGACTGGACAATTAAAAAGAAATTTAAAGTAATGAGCCTTTAATGTTTATATGAAGTTTGTACATCCTTTTTTCCAAGCCCAATGCATTATTATGCTAAATCACCAATTTAAACTTAAAAAGTAAAATGGAATCATTATTAGAACAAAGCATAATTTATATTATTTCAACATGAGACACATTTAAAATAAAGCTTGTATAAAAATAAAATAGTTTGTAAAATGTTTTTAAATATTGTTATTTTTAAACATTAAAATTTATGTGTATAAATATATATATAAAAAAATACAAAATACAATTTTAAAAAATTCAAAAATAAATTTAAATCTCATTCTGGTTCTGATCCTTCTTTAGCTGATCTGGCTCCATCTTTAACTGCACTGGTTCATTTTTTGATTGCCTTAATTGTGCATCTATAATCATGTCTTCAATTGTAAGTATTTCATTCAAAGCCTTTGGTTCTTTTTCTATGATAAACTTTTTCAATCTTTTGGTCATTTCATTAGCTTCTTTGAATGTTATGACATAGTTTTGAGAATTTGAGCTGAAACCATTTTCTTCACCATCAATACCATTAGAGTTTATGTTTGTTGAATCATTAGATTTTTGGATTAAGTTTATCACATTATTTTCATCTTTGATACTTTGCTGGGCAGTATTTAGGGTCTTATTAAAATTCTCAAAATATTGCAAAAAAAGTTTTGATTCTGTAGGAGTTAATGTCAAATTATTATTAATACTATTAGTAGTGGTATCTTCATTTGCTACAATATCTTTTTTTGCAGGGTAATTTTCATGTATAATTCCAGACTTAACAAAACATTCATTGATGGTTTCAGGATTAATGCTTCTAACAGCCTCGGATATACATTGAATTGCATCTAAAAGATAATCATTTTTGCTATAAGTATCAGATTTTTCTTTTTCAATTAACCTAAATATATATAAATTTTAGATAAATATTATAAATTAAAACTTTTTTGTCAAATTATTGTATATTAATCTGAAATTTTGGAAAACACCTTTGTTTAATGGCTGTATGAATGTTTTTTTGGAAGGTATAAATATTATTTTGATATTGGAAAAATCAGTATTAAGATTTGATGGCTTTTTTGTTAAAAACATTAATACATTTCTATTTTCTTCTTTAAATCTCTCATTACAATAATTTAACCATTCTTCATATATTCTAGATAACATAGATGTTTTATTATTTGTTCTCCATAATACAGGTAATTGACTTATATCAAATTGAGGACATGTTTTACCAACAACTAAGGGCTTTAAAATATTTCCTTCCATGCTAATAGCCAAAATGACACAAAATTTTTCAATAAATTTGTTTGCTAAAAATGTAATATTATAGATATAAAATGTAATATAATTTTCTAACCAGCTTGAATATCATTTACTGGTATATCTTTAGGATGTGTTTTAAAATATAGTAGAGTATCATCTGCATTAAATATATCTTGTGCTGTGTAGCATTTAATTAATTCATGCATATTTGATTTAAATTCATTAGTTTCTTTTAAATCAATGGGAGATACTTCTTTAATTGTAGAATTTGAAAAACTGATATTGTGTCTATTTTTAAAGGAATCAAGCCATCCATTTGATGCCTGAAATTTTGCTTGTCCCAATTGTTGAGCAAATTTAAGAGCAGCATTTTTTAAAACTGGCCCTGATATCACAATATCTTGGCTTTTAGCTTTTTCATAGAATTTCCAGGTATAATCATTAATCTGTTCGTTTTCAGATGATTTATATTTTCGTTTTCTATGGCTTGGCAAAATACCTTCTTCAAATCCTTTAATAATATCATCTTTATTTTTCTTGATATTGTGTACAGTTCCATGTCCTATTAAAAATTTTCTTGCACATGCTCTTTGAGAATGATTTTGAAGATATTTAATAACTTCTAATTTTTCACAAAAAGTCAATTGATGATGATGGTATTTTTTAGTTTTTGTCATAGTGGGCATAGTTGAGACAATCAGATGTGCATACGAATGAACACATACTGAATGTTTTTTAAATTATAAATATATATAACCAAAAAATAATAATACACATTGTTACCATTTAGATAGATCTGCATGAAAATATTACATTCTTATACATACTTTTAATTATATTAGTATTTGAAATTATAAACAAAAGATATGATATATAAAACCCCAGCTCACTTAATTTTATCCTAACTGATCCAACAGAAATAAAATTACTCGTTAGTTAATTTTACAATAAAGCTCAAAAGAAGACGGGGGAGGAGGTGAGAGAATTTGCCTTGATATATAATTTCTGGGGTCAGCTTATAGTGGCCAAGGCGGGGTAAAAAGTTAGAGGTATTAACGTATCGCTTTTTTAATTCTACTAATTTTTAAATATAACAAAGAACTTTGTAAAACCATTATAACTCCTTGAGTAATTTAACATAACTTTAATTTTCATAACTTTTAAAATTCATTCACTTATTTACTACGATCTAAATTGATAAAAATCCATATGGAAGATGAAAGTATTGTAGTTGATTACTAAATTAATATAAAAGAAGGATACATATTATGATGGAGTATAATATTTTAGAAGAAAAACAAGTTTATTTATTAGAATTTATAAACAAATTTTTGATATGCTATTTACAAAACTTTAACTAAATTTATATAAAGCAATAATAATATAGTTCAAAGTGCTGATAATCTTAAAAATGTCAGTTAATATTATAAACTTGTAATAGTATAGTGTTCATTATCATTAGTTAATTAAATTATAATTTTATCAAATAAATTTAAAAATTTTATTTATAATTTGTAAGTAGAAATGTGAATAATTTAACAAATAATCGTTTTATTAATACAATAGAAAGAAATGAGATTTCAAACTACCCCAATAAAGAATTTTATCTTCGTCAGCAATTTCTCTCTTAATCTTCCGGTCCAATTTTTTAAACATTCTCTTCTAGGGGTGTTATATATCTTTTTAAATATTTTTTTTAAAACTTTTTATTATATAAAATATATATTTATTTTTTTATAATTTTTAATAAACCTTATTTGTTTTTTTTTTATATTAAACTGTATTTTATTTTTTGATTTTAATTAAAATTACAGAGGATTAAAAAATATATATTAAAATGGATATATTAAAAATTAAATATAAAAAAAAAGAAATATATATGATCTATGAAGACATTAAAAAAGACTATAAAAAAAAATATATGGGTTTAAAAAAAGGGGGGGGGGGTATATATCATCCAAGAGAAGAGTGAGTACTTAAAAAATTAGACCGGCAAATTTCTAGGGAAATCTGCTGTCGAAGGTAAAATCCTTCATTGGGGTCCCCTGAGATCTGTCTCATTTTTTTTCCTATAATTTTAATGAAATTGAGGGCCTCGTTTCCAAACATGCCTAGGGTATTGGTAACGATAGTAATGAACATAGTGTTGGCGAGGCAAGCGTATTTATTTTTTTTAAGGATTTCTGCCTTTTCGATAGCAGAAAATGAGAGGTTAGACTTGGCAGCAAAATCAACGCAAGTGTAACCCCATGTTAGCGGAAGACCATTAGACCAGGGTATGAGAGAAATACCATCCGGACGTATGGCGTATTCGTTTGAAAGACCCACTGATTCGAGGGTAGATGGGATATTGACTTTTTTGAGGGCGGCTAGTAAAATGTTATTGATAGATTTATGACGAGGTTGTCGTCCACGGGAGAACTTGCAGTGCAAGGGATGGTAAGCCTTCGATTCAATGGGCTGACCACAATCGATGCAGATGGAGGGAACTACGACATTACAGCCGAGGCGGAGGGCTATAGATATACGTAGCTGTTCGCCAGTCATGAGGAGACCAAGATTGGCGCTGGGGATGGCTTCCAACCATTCGTAGCCAGAATTTGCATTTAGTACCAAATTATTGGGATTTTCCTCAAAGGGCCTGTTCGAAATAAGATATTCAACGGAACGGGCGATCAGAGGAGCATCCCAGTCTTTTTGGGTACTGGAAGTGGGGCGGCTAAGGGTGGGAGAGCAGTTGTTGTCCCAAGAGGTGAGGGCCTGTTAGAGGTCAGTATCTGAAGGAGTAGATCCATTGTCGATAATAGATTGAGCAGCAAGACGAGATGAGATAAAGGCTGAGAGGGAAAGTTGTAAGGGGGATCGGATACCAATACCACCAGACTTGCATGGAAGGGTGGCCTGGAGCCAAGATGAATTGGAGAATTTAAGGTTTAATATGTTTTCTAGGAGATCCTTAATTTGGGTTTCGTGGGAAACTAGCAAATGGCTGCATTTGAAGATCGGTGAGGATCTCAGGGCATAGAGGATTTTGGGTATATTAAAATAGTTTTTGATTAAAAAAAAGGATTGATGAGCGGGTAGGTAATTAAAAAGTGAGTTTAGATTAGATAAATTGTCGAGGGATTTGTTTAAAAAAGTTTCGATTGCTTTTTCACCCCCTATCGGTGATCCAAGATGTGTCATCTCTTCTCTGTTGATGGCGAGGAATGTGGTTTCTGAAGGGATGGATGTTGTAGGGTTTAAGAAGCAAATCTCTCATTTGGGGAAGTTGAGAGATAATCCTGTTATATAAGAGAGATTTTCGATGATGGGGGGAATGGACATGACTGTGGAGAGGTTGCCTGAGACTATACCGTCATCGAGGTACCAGGAATTTATAGTGAGGTTAGATATAGATTGAATATCTAGGATTATCTTGTGTATCCCGATGCAAAAAAGGGCTGGGCCTAAGGGGTCTCCTTGTTGGATTCCCTCCTGAGATTTTATTATGTTGTTATTGTACTTTAAAAAAGTAGGGCTAGAGTAACTGTTGAGAATGTATGTAGAATATTGAGAATGTATGTAGAATATTGAGGATATTTGTGGCAAAACAAGGGAACGAAATATTGACGTTTGATTGTATTGAAAGCATTTTTGAAATCAAGTTTTAAAACGACATTGTCAGGAATATTATTTGAGAGGGTAATGCGAGCAAGATGGGCCGAAATTTCAGATCCTCCAGGTACACCAAACCCTAGCTGAAGTGGCGACAGGAATGAAGAAAGAGATTCCTTTATTCGTGAGGCAATGATCTTAGAGATAGTCCTTCTGAAGAACGACCCAACAGCAATTGGGCGGATACCTCCATCCTTTTTTTTTGAGGGCTATAAGGCGGGCACCAAAGAGAATAGGAATGATAGGTGGTGGGAGGGGCCCATTAAGAATTAAATTTAATAACCTGGTAAGGTTCTGCAAGAGGGTTTTGCATGATATGTTAGGTTTTAAAATGTCTTGGATAAAAATAGCACGAATGCCATCAAGGCCTCCAGAAGAGTCTCTTTTGAAAGATCTGACAGCTTTGATCGTCTCATCAGAGTTGATTTCAGAGGCTATATGATCGTTTTGGCTTGAGAAGGCAAATTCTGAATCACATGAAGGGTGTTTTAGAAGCAAGGCTTCTAGAGTGGACTCATTGTTTGGAGCTAAGAAATCTTCAGAAGTCATGACCCGAAGGGCTGAATTGATATTAAGGCTGTTTATTTTGTTTGAAACTATTTTAGCCTTATGGGCAATAGGGAGTGGATTGGATTGGTGGGTCTGAGGTGTAGGGGTTGGAATAGAGTCAGGTTTGAAAAGAGATATTGAAGTTTTAATGTGTTTAGATAATTGGATATTTTTATTATCGGGAATTTTAAGGGTGGAATTAGTAAAACTTAGTAAGTTTTTCCAATTTGATAGGTTTGCAGGATTGTTTACTGTTAATAGGATTAACTTGTTAAAGGATTCTGCAAAAGAATTGCGAGCACCACGCGGAATACGGGATATGGTGGAAACATTGGGTACTGATAAAAAATCATTGGCCCATGATTGTAAGTTGGGAGTTTGCTGACTAGGGGGCAAGTTGGTAGCAACAATAGGCAGGGGATGGCTTGCTAAATTTAATAGGCTGAATGGAGGAGGATCTGTAGGTGTTATGCATAGTAACCCTGAACCTAGGCATCTAGAGGATGGGGGGCCATGAACTTGAAACTTTCTAGCTTTGGTAATTTTAGTATATTTATGGCAAGAGGGGCATAAATTATGCATTTGGATTATAGTTGCCAAACTTATAATTGTTGTATTCTTGCTTCACATAGCTATTTAGGCATGTATTATCCATTAATTTTGGAATATATGTAGGAATAGTTATCAAAATTTTGCTTGACAAATATTAGGACAAGGACCACATGAACCATTTGTTTGTATTTTTGAGATTTTTGGTGATGGATTGTTAGATTATATGGGTTTTGTTGTAGATGAGTGCAGAATAATTATTTATTGTACCAGTGAGTGTTTACTTTTATTTCATTGAAAATGTTTTATAGCTCTGAAGATATTGATGTAGGTGGTGGGGGAAAATTAGAGGGTTTTAAAGTTGTAGAAGGGGTCAGAATAATTAAATATGTATAGTGCATGTAAGTGTTGTATTTTTATTTCCTTGATGTGTTGTAAATAGTTTCAATAAGAGTAAGCTTGTTATAAACTATGAAGTTATAGGTGCAGGAGGTATAGAAAAAATTAAATTTCAATCATTTATTTATTGTTTTTAAAAGGATTTCAATTGGAAATATGATAAGAACTTATTTGTATAGCTTTGATTCCATGAACAGCTGTAAGGATGGATGTATTTTTTTAAATATATTTTTGATTTGATATTTTTCATACTTGTATTTAATCTTTTTAAAATAAAAAATTTATGACTCGTAAATTGTAGAGTTAAATTAGACTATTTTAAATTAATATTATAATATATCTACAAAGAATTTCCAATGCTATTGAGATTGAAGTAATTTTGCATCTTCATGATGATATATCATTTGAAATGAATGTTACATAAATTTCCGCTAATATAATAAATTTGCATTCGTTAAAATACATAACCATCCTCCACTCCCATGGAACACCTTCTTTCTTTTGCCCATTTGATTATGTTAATAGAATGGAAATTGATAATTATTCAAATAATTTTTTTTATTTTAA